TTAGCACAATGCTGAGTAGCCCAAGTCTTAAACACAATGCATCGAATCAATTCATCTTTGCCTGAAAAGGTCTTGACTGAAAGGCTGTTTTCAGATTCATTCAAACTCTGCTTTGTTTGCACTGGCTTTGTTTGCCTGTTTGTTTATTTTCATGAACACCTGCTATTTACAAAGCACTATGTTCAAGCCAAGAAAAGTGCACACAGGAAGTCAATGCACAATCTCTGTTCCCTGGGAATTTACCATCTAGGTAGATTGTTTTTTCTAACTACTTTTGTAAAAACACAAATCTGAGGAAGACAAGACGAGGCAGGGAGAAGCTGTACTAAGCAGACCACAGCTATAAAGTTCAGCTCACCACTTAGGGTCTGTAGGAGCTCCAGGGATGAGCATTTAAAGCACCCCGTAATACAATCACATTAAACCAACAGAATTAGAATGAACCTGTAGATCCTTGACTTAAGGCTTCATAATAACTATGGTGGTCACTATACACAAAGTTTTCTAACTGTCTTAAAAGTCAACAGAGTATTCTAAGAATACCAGGAAAAAGACTACATGGCATGGGAAATAAGAGGCTCAGCATCAGTCATAACTGTAGACTGAAGAATATAACAGAAATTAAATATCATCATCATATATCTGATGATGCCCAATATCCCTAGTTCCTTGTAACATCAGAGGAAATACAAGCAGCTATTTACAGGGCCCTATTATGAGCCAGGAACTAAGAAGAGACCAGAATATATGATTTCATTCTCATAGGAATCGTGAGAAAGACTATTATTTCCCCTTTTATAGATAAGGAAAAGGGGGCTTGAGAAGTTTAGAAGTATCTTAAGTTACCCAGTGAACTAGAGATAGTATTCAAATTCTAGAGTATCTGAGATTAGAGCCCAGAGAGACAACAAATTTCAGAATCTTTTATGAAAAAGCACTTTGCTCAAAATGTTTGTCTTAATGTACTGTTGATGTGGAATAACTATGCTTGCTGGGGTGCCAGGAACAATCCCAGTTTCCATCTGTTTCCCAGTGTAATTAGTGATAGCATTCCCTTCTCTGTCACAAGTGTCCCAGTTTAGTCAGTGAACTATATGGTCATCCTGTCTCACTGCCACTGGCCCACGTGAAATTTGTCTACCCAATTTCCCAGGCACAGTGAAAAACAAAAACGTGAGACCCCCCACCCCATTCAGAAAAAGAATGGAAAAAGCCCTAAAAATACAACATTTTGTTCTTTCATTTAACCACTGTCTTACTGCCCAATTGTCCCATCTGACTTCACAAGCAAAACACCATTTGAAAGATAAAATCAGTAAGAATTTCAAGATAGCAGCAGCGGAGTACTAAGCCAGCCAGCCCTTCGGAGCACATGCACTCATGTCACTGCACAGCACACACTCCCATGAAGGGCTCTGGGTCTACGCTGTTACATCCACGCAAATGGGTCTGTGATCTTGTGCTCTGTCTGGACTGAAAACAGAACACAGGCTGCAACCTACTATAGTCAACTTTAGATTTGAATAGTGGATATTAGGTTCATAAAATCATTTCCTTAGAAAAAAAAGTTTTATAGTACTTCTAATGAAGCACAAAATTTCATTTCCCAAGCAAAACAAGAACATAAATTCAAGCAAATTAGGTCACTCTCTAGCATTTTACCCATGACCTAAAAACAATTCATCTAAATAATTTAACCTAGCAATGATCTCAAGTGAAAATTCTGAATACATGAAATACATTAGATTACAAATGCACTACAAAGTCCTTACTACCTCAATGCCTGATTAAAATCTTAATTTTAAACTTTTGTTGGATAAATTCATATGTGCAGGAGAAAGTCTTAAGACATGAACAAATGGATATAAAAGGAAATGTGAATTTTAAGGATGACTGAGGAGCTGTCCTTAAAAATGAGGTAATAGAATAAAGGTAGGTCAACTAATTCATGCAGTAAGCAGGCACTAATTATCTACAATGTTACAACCACTGTACAAAATTCTGGGGAGGCACAGGCAAGTACACTGGTGTTCAAGGAGCTTGGGGTCTGGTAGAACGAAACAGAGAAACAAATAAGTACATCAACTACTTCCTCTTGTGCAAGAAGTAAATATGAAATATATGGGTACAAACCAGGGAATGCTTGGGAGAATGAGATAGAAGGCCCAACCCCTCAACTGAAGGACAAAGGCAGAGATCTGAAAAGCATGGTACACCATTTGAAAAGCCACTCTAAATGATGACAGCCACCTTAAAGCATAGACCTGAGCTCAAGCAGTCAGTATGTAGCCAGGTGGTAACTAGAAAAAAAGATGACTAAAGAATACTATAAGAGCCAGGCATGATGGCACATGCCTATAGTCCCAGTACTTGGGAGGCTGAAGCAGGATTGCTGTGAGTTTCAGGTCAGCCTGGGCTACATAAGTGAGTTCAAGGCCAGCCTGAACTACATAGTGAGGAAAGAAAAAAAATCCAAGAATAGCATGGTATAGAGAAAAACAGCAATGCTAATGGACCGACTGGTGTTTGCAAGAAGGTACTCTTTCCTTAAAAGTCAGAATTGAGGGAGAGGACCAAAAAAAAAAATGAGTAAGAAATCTTTCCTTCCTTTTTTTAAATCAAAGCAAGTATCATTTTGCTTGCTTATTTGTGGGCCTATAAGTAAAAATACATTCTTGATAGAGCCAAGAATATGTTTTCTACCTGTTCTTTCTCTTTCTATAGTCACCCTTCATCAAGAGCAACACTTAAAGCAATGACAGAAATTGAAAACAATGACTAATCTAACATTTAAATTTGACTTAAGTATACATATCAATTTATTGCCAACAAATTTACCATTCAGTGTATTTATTACTATAGCTGACTTTTTAAAAATATCTTTTATTGATCATTCCCTTAGGTTCTAGGCAGGGAAATTAGCAGGTCAAGGGGCAGGAATGCTTTTGAGGCTCTTGGTGCATATTAGCAGAGTCTACTATGTAAACTTCAACTACAGGCCACCAAATAAAATTCTGAAGGGACTGCTTCTCTAAATAATTCCCAAAGGAAAAAAAATCCAATAATGGGTTATAAACTTTAGACTTTCAGAGGTTTTTGACCAAAAAGAAATCAGAATAAATCTCTGTCTACAGGCCATTCAGGCTAACTTGTATGTATAAGCAAATACAACCACCAATAAAGAACAAAGGAAAAGTGGAAGAGCTCATAGTTTTTGAGTAAGAAAGCAAGAACAAAATCATAAGATGATATTCTTCTTGTAAAAAGAAAAATACGGTTTATTTTATTTTTTATATCGCCCATATATTCATCCCTCACTCTATACAGTAAAGAGTACTTTTCAATTGTTATATTCAGATGTTCAGCAAATTAGTTGTTAGAGGGTGTGTAGATTAGGAGTGTTCTGTTTCAGCAATGTAGCATTTCGCACTGTATTTTTTTCATCTATTTTCAAAAAGCAGCAACTCTTTAACATATTACTCAGCTTTTCAAAAGTCAAGGGACTTTATCAACCACAGAGTTTCATGATAACTACATTTGAAGCTATTAAAAATTAAAAGTCCTTTAAAACATGTTCTTTTTAGCCCAGTACGGTGATGCCCGCCTGTAGTCCCAGCAGTTTGGGAGACTGAGGCAAGAGGATCACAAGCGCAAGAACAGACTGGGCCATTTAGGTAGAATGGGTCTCAAAATTAATAATTAATTAAAAGGCCTGAGGATAAAGCCCATTGCGAAGGCTCTGTATTCCATCCCCAGAGACAAGTAAGATGTACTCCCATAAATCAAGCAAGCAAGCTCTCTTCACAGTCGCTGCTGCCTGCACGTATTCCATTGATTCTCTGTATCACCAGTTCCCAGGGTAGTCTCAAATACTTGCACCTCTGTAAAGGACGTGGCCCTCAGGAGCTCAAGTACACTAGAGTAGACAAGCTCTGCATTTCTGGGCAACGTTCAGAACCCCCGAGACATTGCTTTTTTCTTCTGGACACAGCCAAGAATGAATTTCCTCCGAAACCCTGACTGTCAACAGAAACTTTTCAGATTTCACATAACTGAGCAGGAAGTTTGGCATTTGAAACATTTCCCTCCAGACCAGAGGAGCACGGCGCTGAAAGCGGAGGGTTAGAGGGTCTGAGCAAGACTGCTCCTGGTTGTTAAGTGGTGCTTTCCCAGGCATCTGGGTAGCCAGAAGCCAGTTCTCAACTTCTTTGTCTTTTCAGCGGTGAAGAGGGAAAATGCCAGGGTGGGAGTGATGTCTCAAGTTACTTCCACTCTGTTTTGCCCCTGCTTCCCTGAAGTGAATGAAATGTTTTCAAGGCCAGCTTCTGTAGAGTCCAGCTGAAACCTGGACACGAGATTCATGCCCAGGTCTGCGGATCCCGCTGTGGTTAGGTGCGCATTCATGCACCACACTCGTGGGTTCCGCTCAGGCTGGGGTCCCCAGCGAGAGCAGAGGGCAGAGTCACACCGGGAGGAAGGAGACTAGGGGCCAGGGCGGACCGGCGACATGTGGCTTTAATACCTACAGCTGCTGGAGAGCACGACCCCTGCTCCTTCCGTACACCCCTCCCACCCGTGTTTCAAAGACGATTCTGATACAGGGATGTTGCAGCCCCGTCATCTGAGCAGAACTTCAGCTCCACTCGATTCAACAGTTCTGTTTAACTCTATAGACCCGAATGTAGCGGGCTGGGTCCTTGTTCAGGACACCAAAGCTTTAAAACAAAATATCCAGGCGAGGGTGAGAAGCAACTGGCCACGCTGGAGAGGAGGGCGCAAAACGAGGGCAGACGGGGCGGTTGGGATCCCGGACGGGACGCTCCCCCTCCGCCTAACTTTCCGGGCTCCGGACGCTCCGCGGCCCCAAATCTCTCCGCGCGCCCAGCGTCCCGGCAAAGCCGGCGCCGCCGCCTCCAGCCCCGCGCCCGGGGCCGGCCAGCCGCCCGCGCACGCCCCGCACAGCCCGGCACACCCCGCGCAGCGCGCGCCGCCGGCCTCACCGACACCAGGAACTCCAGCGTGCCCACGTAGTCGCGCTCGGTCTTCTGCAGCTCGCTGAGCACGCACACGCGCAGGCGGAGCTGCTTCTCCGCGTCCCGGGCGCCCTCGGCGCGGCCGTCCTCGCTCATGGTGGGCGCGGACTGAGCGCTGTCCCGGCGCCTCTGCTGCCCGCGCGGTCCCTGCGGCGCGAAGGGCGAGCGGCCGCCTCCGAAAGTCCTAGGAGGGACGGGGGACTTTACATGCTGGGCAGAGGCGGCGCGGGCGCGGGAGAGGAGGGCGCGGGGGCTGCGACGCGGCGCGGGAGGCTCCCGGGAGAGTCGGCGCGGCCTCTGCCCGCGGGCCAAGCCCCGCCGCGCCGGCCTCACGCGGCCTAAGCCCGAGGGGAAGCGGCCCCCGCTGCCACCGCGGTAACTTGGACATTAATCAAATGCTTTCTGTCCATGTGACTCCGACCCTTTACCCTTCGCCAAATCTCAGGAAAAAGGAAACACAACCCTGGGAAGTGTATCGTGCCAGCTAACCAAACACACGCGCGCGCGCACACACACACACGCACACACACACACACAAATTTGCCCTCGAGATGGAACTAATTGGAGGTTCCCAAACCCAGATGACGGGCACTTCAAGACAGCTCCAGAATTGCTCCTGAGACTCCCGCCTATTGTTTAGCTTTAATGTGTTTTGCACAAATCCTGAAAGGGAAGAAACAAGTCCCCACGGTTACATAACTGAATGGGAACAAAAACAACCACAGTATTGACCCTCCTGTCTTTGAAAAGAAGCACATTGATTTTTTTTTTTTTTTTAATTCAGGCACAAAACAGGTTTGCTTTCAAACCCCTCACCCCCCCCCCAACCGGGACTATTTCATAAGACAGACACCCTCCTGTCTGCTCTTCGAAAGTCAATTAGCATAATAAATGAGAGTACAATAAGAAAGTGACAGCCCCAGTCTATACAATAAACTCCAGAAACAATAACCATCACCATGGCACTGGGTTGTTTAGGCATCTTTGCATGGCTGTAACTTTTTTTCCAACATCTATGTAAATTCAAGGAGAGGCAAGGATATTTGTGCCAGTTTTCTTCTAGGAGCAGTGATGGTTTCAAAGCATAAACCGCTTATTGAATGCTAATCAAAAGATAGATGATTGGTAGACAGCTAATCTTACATATTTAAAATGGAAAGACGCATAGCATTCCTGGTTTTAATGTTTAAGTTTATTGCCTTTTCTTATATAGAAAGCCAAGACCTACTAAGCACTGATTATTTCCAATACATTTAACAAAAACAACATTCCATGTACCTATTTTTGTAAAGGTCATCTACATATATGTTCTGGTCATTTTGCTTTGCTTAAAACAACTTTAAACAGTCTACATCTAATGACATTTAAATAAATTTAATCAATTGTTTTGATGCAAGAAAGTGGCATATTAACTTGTTTCAAGAATGGAAAGCACTAGCAAAACTAAGCTATAGATGTTTTCTTCAGTATCTACAGTGAAACAAGTGTTGGTTTTTCCAGATGATGTATATTTCAAAGCATGGTAGTGACTATAATGTATAATGCAACAAAGAAGGATTGTATTTTTTACATTAAAAATATGATTTTTGAACCATGTGGAAATTGTGATTTTTCCTCCTTTGTATATGGTTATTTAGAAATAGCCACAAGCAAAGAGCAAATAATACAGTTGGCATCGCACGGAGTGACCAAGTAACAAGGGGTAACACACATTAAAGAGCAGACACCACAGCACCTGGTAAACAGAAAAGGAAAACATAGGAAGCAAACAGCCAGGAATGACTGGGAAACTCAAACAGTGAACCCTCTCTCCAAACACTGCAGAAAGCAAAGCACAAATGCTTTTCTTCCTCCAGGATCTGCCTATTCCACAGTGGGAAAAAAAATAAGGAAATAGGGCAGCTTTCCATCAGCTATTCTAAATAAAGCAGAATTTTTGGTTTACCAGTTGTCCCCAATGAAAAAATTGTTATGCATTTCCCTTTAACATTAGTCTAAAACATTAGTCTATACACAATCCTCTAGCTCTGCCATGTAACTTCTAATAGCACGATGTGTGAGTTTGAATCCCCAGGAGGGCTATATCCACCCAAAGAATTTGACTCAGCTACACATACAGGTCTGGGAGACCTCTTAAGAACACGGCACAGTACTAAGGCCTGAAAACCAGAGAATGATCTCTAGACAAATACTTCTTAAGGTGGGTCATAGACCCTGCATTAAAATTACCTGATGTCTTTCTAAAATGAACACCCCTGAGCCCCTCCTCAAATGTATTGAATGTCTCATCCATTACACCCTAAATTCTTTCAATAAGGTCTTCATTTGAGAACTACCGTCCAAGGACTTTGCTACTGAGAGGATCAGAAATACAAACCATGCTATTAAAAGTCAAAGCACAATAAGTGCTTTGCAAAGGAAGGAAAGAAAAATTAAAGCTATCAGAAAGATATTTAATTTCTTTCAGAAATGCCTGTATCAATACTATTACAATATTTACAGATTCTGACAACTCTTCAGCTCCTAGGTCTACTCCTCAATACCATCAGTAATTGAACAACTCCAGGACACCATGCAGTGCCCATTGTCAGACACCTCTCAGTGTTTCTTGGCCCTGACCAGAGCTTTTAATTCCTCACCAAAGACATAAGAGCCTAAGAAAATGGGGCTAGAGTATCTGGAAACTTTCACTTTGATGGTAAATAAGCTCTTTCATAAACTCTGAATGTGTTGTATCCCTTCCCACTTCCTCTATTGAAAAGTTAGGCTCTCCTTGCCAGTGAAAGAAAAGCAAAATCCAAAATGATGGACAAGATCCAGTTTTTTCCTGAAATACTAATGAGGTTGGAGCCTTTAATAAAAAGAGATGGAAGAAAAGGAGATAGAAAAAAATGGCTGAGTACTATACGAGCTCACCCATTAAATTTACTTCATATGCATGAACTTGGTGTCGCTAGAGTCCATTATCAGAAGGTTCAAAGAGCCACAGTTCCATGCACAGGAGGCTGCATTTCAGCCTAAGAAAAAGATGGTTCCTGGATTGAAATTCTAAAAAATCCAAGGTTGTCTCTTTGGGGAAAAAAAAAAAAAAAAAAACCCTCCCTGGACATAATACAAAGAGAGGTCATTTTAACCTCCTCAACATTTCAATACTATTTCCCCCAAAAAATAATTGATCAATCTTTATACTGAATAGAAGTAGGAAGATTCACCTGAAAACAATTCTATGATCACTTTATTAGAGAACTATAAGAGTCAGACTGTTCTTTATCCACCAGTTTTTAAACAAAGATGATTCTATCTTTTCCTTTACTGTCCCAGCCTACTATAAACAATCCCACATTATATTAATATAGGAAAATATTACAAGCATATTGGAAGTATATTAATACATATTTAACAGTCTTTAGGGCTGGCCAAATAGCTCAGCAGATTAAAGCAGGTGCAAGCAGGGGCTAAGGTTTCAATACCCAGACCTGCCATGCCAGACCTGCCCTCGGGGCATGCTGAAATGGTGACTGAGACTGGGCATGGTGGTGCATGACTGTAATCCCAGCTCCTAGGAGGCGGTAATAGGCAGATCACTATGAGTCTGATCTAGTAGTGAAACCCTGAACACACTGTAGACCCTTCCTTAAAAAATACAAAAAAGAAAAAGAAAGCAAGAAACCACACACACACACACACACACACACACACACACAGTCTCAACTGCTATCTCGGCATGCCGGGGTGGGGGGGGAGGGGGAGACGACCCACCAGGCCTGGCATAGAAAAGTAATTTGAGGGGCTGGGGAGATGGTTCAGTGGAACAAGCACTTCCCTGGCAAGCACAAGGGCCTGAGTTCGATCCCCAGTTCCGCAAAAAAAAAAAAAAAGAAGAGTAATTTGAAGAATGTTTCTTAATTTAGTTTGTAATTCATGCTTAACCCCTTAGTTACTTGAACTTGATTTTGTTGGCAATTTAGTCATAACAAGAACAGCAGGTTCTGGACCATTAATTAATTCTATCATGTTACTATAAGTATTTAAGAATGTACAGTACTTTAAAAACTATAATATATTATTTTATAAGCTATATTTTAGTTTCTTATACACTATTTTATAGCAAAGCAAACTAAATAAATGTTTGCATGGTGTTACTTCAGCAAGTTCTTAAAGATTTGATCATCCAGATTAGTTTAAGACCAAATCATCCTGTTAGCCATGCTCTAACTTGTAATGGGAAATCAGTATCTCATTATGGAAATATAAGCTACAACTGTCCCAATCTAATAGCCAGTTTTGGTTATCGCCAGATCAAAGTTCATCTGTTCACCACTCAAATGCCAATAGTGGGAAACAAGAGTTGGTGGGAAGAACATCAGGTTTGCTCAAAGACTGTAAGTGTTAAGTTGGAAAAGAATTTTGTCCTCAAAACACCATCTTGGGTGAACTCAGATACACAAAAAGGCTTTTAGAGGGAGAGTCTCAGTGGGACAATGGGCAGCAAGGCTGACTTGAGCAGCAGCTTTCTCATCCGGGGCATATATGTCTTTATTACCTCTGGCTGGAACATCACGGTTGTCCTTTCCTCCTATGACTAGTACCTCTATTTTCATTACATAAACATATTAGTGTTGTGCAAGTTAAAATCGCAGCAATGTATAGGCTTTGTGTTAAAGAATAAGGACGGACATTATACATTCTAGTGTTATCTAAAGATTACTTGATATTCTAGGTTCTAAATATCTAAAGAAAGATTATTTAGCAGTTAACATCTTAACCAGCAAGTTAGCATCTAAATCAGCATCTTAATTAAGCTATAATCTTTGTTTGTCCAATTTATAATGCTAGAGAAAAGGAGCAGAAGCAAAAATTAGTGTGTCAAGGATAATTCCTAAAGAAGTGGCCACAGGTGTATGAACTACTGACATCCTGTTCACTTTTTAAAAATCCTGACTTCACGTGCCTTTAAGATCTACCCCAGTTTTCTCCTCCCTGGAAAAGTTGTAGAGTTTTACTCATTGCCTGTAATAAGCAGAGTAATCACACACACACACACACACACACACACACACACACACACACACAAGACCTGAACTATCAGTATGTTATCTGGTAAAAAGTAATCACACACAAATTTGACTAAAGTTAAAGACTGCAAGATGAAGAACTTACTCTGTGTTACCTGGGAAGAGGGGAGACAGTCCATGACTCCTTACAAGCAAAGTACCTTTCAGGTGTGATTGCACAGAGGGTTATAGAGGAGCAATCAGAGATGCAGTATTTCTGGATTTTAAAATGAAGGAAGAAGCCCACCAGCCAGAGGTCTTGGGCAGGCTCTCGGCACTGGAAAAGGCAAAGGATCTGTTCCCGAGAAATTCTAGGAGGAACCCAGTCCTGTCAACACTTTATTTTAACCCATAAAACCCACAGTGGAATTCTAACCCTCAGAACTATAGATAATAGGGCCTGGGAGATGGCTCAGTAGAATAAGCAATTCCCCGGCAAGTGCAAGGGCCTAAGTTCAATCCCCAGTTCCACAAAAATAGATAGATAGATAGATAGATAGATAGATAGATAGATAGATAGATAGATAGATAATAGTTTTTAATAGTTTTAATAGTTTTTAATAGTGTGT